CTTCTAAGGGAGTGCACTTAGGCCTAATTCTGATTAGTCCAATGATAATCCTAGAGGGAAGTCTTCAGCCCCATCACCACCCCCCAGCTGGATCCAGTCACCTTGGGTCATGTGGAGCGAGGGGACATGGAGGCATAGAGCCTGGCACCGCCTGCCCCACCAGCTCTGATTGAATTAGACCTTCTCCCCCTGCACGAGGCCCAGGAGGCCTTTCCCTATTAAAAGGGACTTTCACTTATTGTCTTTATTTCGAAATGTTTTGTGGAAAATTAAAAGACGAGTGACTGCCAAGCAGTGCCTGAGCCAGCAACCCAGAGAGCGCCTGGGGTTTCTTCCAAGTCTGACCAGAGCGGGCCTGGAATCGACCCAGCATTCCCCAGGCTCCTCTGCCTTCACTTATTCTCTGGGCTGCTCAATTCCTTTTAAGACACAAATTGATTGGGATAATTTTTGCTATAACTACAATTGCCATGGAAAGAAGGAGGGGGGATCCATTCAGGCTGGGGACTCCTGCAAAGACTGTGAACCACTGAGTTACTGTAAAATGACCAGAAAATGGATTCAAAATTGAAGCCACAAATAATGTAATTACTGCATTGTGTGCTTAGGGCTGCCAGAACAAGGGTTGGCTGCTGCCCTGGAAACATCTGGAGAGAAAGCTCCCACTGCTGGTACTGCTGCTGTAACCCTGCCCTGGTCCTTGGGAGTAGCATTGATCTTCCAGGACTGAAGATCCTCAGAAAGTTGAAGGAAAGAGGGGGATGGGCAAAGGAATGTGGAGAGAGGCCAAAGAGAGGAAATAGATGGAGGATAGGGCTGATGTTTCCTGCCACTCAACAGTGAAATCTGATCACTACATCTCTGGAAAAATGAAACCCAGTATGGGTATTATCAACACAATATCACCACCATTGTCACACCTGTCGACAGCAATACATCAGCACTGCCATCCTGCTGATACTGTCATCCCCATCCACTGTGGTATCACCTCCACTCAACAATGTCAGCAACACTATCACTACCCCTGCCATCACCATTTCTGTCACTGTTAGGACGGCAACATCTTTGTCACTGCCAGTCTCATCAATGCCAAAATCATCACCCTTCCTACTGTCATCATTTCTATTACTGTGATGGCATTAACATCATCATCATCACTGATCTCAGTGCCATCAGAATTGTTATCACATGAATCCATTCAAATCAGTGTCAGTATCACCACTCCTAGGATCCTCATCACCATCGTTGCCATGACAACAGTAGCTTCCTGACTCTCAATCTCATCAACATCACCACCACCATCCCACTGATGCTGTCCTCACCATCACCACTACTGTCACCTCCTCTCTCCTCAATGCTTACATCGCTATTGTCCTTCCTATGGTTGTCATCACCATCACTGTGGTGATATTGACATCTTTATCATCGATCTGAACATCAACTCCAACATTAGCATCCCACCATTACCGTCACCACATCCCCATCAATGTCACCCTCATCAATGCCATCAGCATTATGATCTACAGCTTTGGGATGTGACTTTCCCTATCACAGTTGCTCTTAAAGTTACCTTTACCCTTATCCTAACAGTCAATAGCCAAACAAAACCACTTCCTTCAAGAGCATTCTTATAATCCTATGCAGCATGACACGTTGTTTGGTCTGCCCTCCCCTGCCTCAGTCAGACAAGATTTCTGGACCCTGGGAGCGGGGAAGACCTGGGAGGTTGGGTTGTTTGAGGTTAGGAGAGGTGGGGTAGCATCATCTAGTCTGCCTCAAGGCACAGAAAATCCAAGAGGCAGATTCTTAGAAGCAGTGGTGGGAGGGAAGGAGACATACAAGCATTGCAACCAAATCTTCCATCTGAACATCCTCGGGGTAAAAGAGAGAATAGAGGCAAGACGTGCGGGGACAGAAACAGGGATATCAGGGGACAGCTAGGAGGTTTGAAACAGAGATAGGAGGTAGAATATGAGAATCCTACAGATTTTATAAGATGCCCACGGCCTCAGGCTTGGACAAGACAGAGTGACCAGGCCTGGACGACTGTCACTCCTTGTGACCATCTGCTCCGTGTTGGTATCCAGTTTCAATAGCCACGAGTGAGCCACATACGGCCTTGGGGCACAGCATCCTTGGAGAAAGGGCATTGAAAAGGAGAACTGTCCCTAAACTTGACAATTTGCTAACAAACCCAGAGTTCCTATTTTTGAAGCATTTATTATCACTGAGGTTCGTCTCACACACAGTCACACCGAAGGCTACCCAAGGCTTGACTTTAAGGTGACAAAACTGTGCTTCACTGACTTGGCCTCCAGTCGATGCACATAGGAGTGCAAGGAAGACACCACATCCCCCACTTTGTATCCTCCTCTGCCTTGGTGTTGGCCACAAGGAATCTTGGTCCCCCAGGAGATGTTCTCCGCACTGACTCTGCCACCACCTATCCCCTAGGGGCCTCTGGCAGGCTCCTGGCAATGCCTAGCCAGCCTCTGAACTGCTGCATTTTCACCCCAGCCATAAGTAGCATTCTCTGATATTATTGGAGGAAGTAGAAATTTCAGGAAAAAAAACTACTTTACCTAATAATTTCCCATTTCCAAGAGGCAGTGAGATTAGCGATGGATGTTAGCTAAGAAGAAAAATACTCAAAGATCACCCAGTGTCATGAAGTCAAATCTACTCTGTATGTCTGGATCAGGTGGTAGCACTTTGTGCTTTGGATGGGGCTCGCCCTCCTCCGGTCAGCCTCTCCTCCCAGGACAGGCATCCTTGGGACCAAAGGGACTTGCCCCTCAAGGGCCTGCTAGACTTTGCTCTCCGTATCTAGAACCCCCGAATTCCCTGCCCAAGCGGCCCTGAGCCCACTCCCAGGGCCTCCACGCCCCTCTCCCCAAGGTCTGTCCTTTGGAGGGAGAGCCATTATCTAAGGCGCACACTCCAGGCCCTGGGGGCAACGGGGGGGGGGGGAAGCTGTGTGCAGAACTTTGGACGGGGCTTGGATAGAAGGGCTGGGGTGCCCACATGGAAGGTGCAAAGCTCCTATGGTTCAGGATGGAGCCGGCAGGACAAGCTGGGGGCTGGATGCCACCTCTCTCCACATCACTGTGTGTGAGACATCTTCATTCTCACCCGACTTTCCAGGCCATTACAAAGGTGCACTTGTCGAGGTAGGAAAAAAATATGTATTTTGTTTAACAGTTTGTTAGCTTGACTCCCATTTACATATTTAGCCTCATGGCATGTGGGTCTCCATTTGTACTCTAGCTCCTGGGCCCTAAAATCTTAGAGGCAGGCCTGTGCCCACGAGGTCACTCCCAGAAGCCCTTGAGGCAGCCAGGATGTGTTGGAACCACAGGAGGTTCACCTCAAGTGAACTTTGCCTTATGTCCCCCCACATGCATTGTGGGTGCACATCACATGCTCTGCCCCTCTGTACAGGGTAGGAAAGGGTATGGAGACCAGGAAAATTAGAGACAGCTGCTGGAAAAAAGGGGCGTGGTTCCTCAGGCGCCTTCCTTCATGAGTGAGCCTGAGAGGTCCCCTTTTTAGGGCTCTTTAGGCAAAATCCTCTCTGAGCTGCAGCTGCCCATGTTCTACTGAGCCACTGATGTTGGGCCATCCCAGCCCAGTGGAAGCCTCTCTGACTGGCCTGGGGCCTCCTCAGGATCATGGACAGTTTGAAGGCAGTGATTTGGCACTCATTCACTCCTCAGATGTTGGTTAAGCACTGTGGATATACTAATAAATGACAGCGATCAAGCACCTTTCTCTTCAGAGCTTACATTCTAGTGGAAGGAGAAAGTCAACAAATGAACAAGACTTCTGGTAATCATTTAATAAAGAAAGAAAGACAACAGGGTGTGGGGCTTAGGAAGTGTGGTGGGACTTTCTATTAGAGGTTGGGCAATGGTGACCTTTTTAATAAGATACAGATGCAGAGATCTGAAAGAAGGGGGAGACAGTCATGTTGGTATATGAAGAAGGACCATTCCAGCCAGAGGGGATAGCAAGCACAAAGGTCCTGAGGCAGGAGTGTGCTTAATGTATTTGGGGAACATCATGGAAGTCAGTGGGGATTGAGGGCTCTGAGGGAGGGACAGAAGGATGGGAGACAAAGTCAGAAAGATTAGAGGGAACATGGGTGGGAAAGAGTTGTAACAAGTTGGGCCTCTTCAGCTGCTGTAAGGGCCCTGACTTTTGCACTGAGTAAGATGGAACCACTTGAAGCAAAGACTTATACCCTGAGAGCCCTTGCTGGCTGTGGAGAGCAGAACAGACACTGGGGAGGATGATTGAGCTGTGATAATCCAAGTGCAAGACCATGGTGATTGGATGTAGGAGAGAGAACGGAGCAGGAGTAGGAGAAATAGTCAGAGTGTGACAGCTTTTGAAGGAGAAGCAGCAGGAGTTGGGCTGGGATGTGGTCTGAAAGAGAACCAGAGAAGTCAAGGCAAAGCCAATGCTTTGGGCACAAGGTCAAGGGCAGTGGAGGTGCCCTTGACAGAGGTGAGGGAGGCGGGGAGGAGAAGAGGTGGTTAACTTTGCACATGTTGGTCTGAGATGCATGTTAGCTATCTCAGTGATGATGCTGATAGAGGGGGGAGATGGCCAAGTCAGGACTGGACAGTGAAGAGTTGTCCACCAGTGGATGCCTGTGCTTCCAAGCTCCTGGGGGCCAGGCCTGGCACAGAGCTGGTGGTGTTGCTGCTCACCACGGCTAGGATATCGCAGGTGACCAGTGTACCTGTGTCCTGGGTGCTTCCTAAGGGCCAGGCATCATGCTACCATCTTTCACACATCATGTCTTACCTTCCTTGACATTAGTAGCCCCATTTTCTAGATGAGAAAACTGAGATTCAGAGAGATGGCAAGTCGTCTACCTCCTGAGGGTTCCAGATGCTGTTTTTCCCCAATGCCAGATCATCAAAATCACTGCCCCCTTCATGTCCCTAAACCCCCAGTGCTGATCCCTGTGCTGCTCTCCCCCACTGCTGCAGCCTGTGACCAGCTGGCACTCGGCGTGGTGGCGATCTTTGGGCCATCACAGGGTTCCTGCACCAACGCCGTCCAGTCCATCTGCAACGCCCTGGAGGTGCCTCATATCCAGCTGCGCTGGAAGCACCACCCACTGGACAACAAGGACACCTTCTACGTGAACCTCTACCCTGACTACGCCTCACTCAGTCAAGCCATCCTTGACCTGGTCCAGCACCTCAAGTGGCGGTCAGCCACCGTGGTCTACGACGACAGTACAGGTGGGTAGTCAGGCTTGGCTGGGCTGGGAGGACGGAGGGGACAGAGCCCCAGCTTCAGGCTCTCATCTGCTTGCCTCACTCAGCTGCCCCTGGGGAAAAGGCAGTGTCCTACAGGTACCACCCATCCCTGTCCCTGTGGTCACTGCACTGTGCGTGCAGGACACTCTCACACCTTGCTCAGCCCCAGGCCATCCACACTTACCTCACATCTTCCCCTGTGTGCCACCTCCAGTCCCCACCCAGCCTGAGTGCTCAGATCTGTACTTGGCACCCAGCCTACCTGTCACACACACCTGTACTCATCTGTACAGCCTCTACGCCTTCCCGACTGCAGCCAGCCTATCTATTGTCACACCCAGAGGTCACTTGGGGTATGGCCTGAAGTTACATGTGTGCATGCTGGAGCCAAGCCACCCTGGTCTCAATCTCAGCTATCCTACTTGATGCCTGTGTACCCACTCATGGGCTTCGGTCGCCTCATCTACAAAATGTGGGGTTGAAGGGTATAATGTGGACAACTGCCTGGCACACGCTGCTCACTGAAATGAGTTCTGACCATCTTTGCACCTGTGCCTGGTACACACACTTGTCTCTACCTACACTGCAGCTCCACTCACACGTGGACACCCCAGTCTACCACGTGGCCCAGCCAAGACCAGGCCCGCGGAAGAAGGATCTGTCTTACACCCCCTGCCCAGTTGGAGCTAATGGCAGCATTCTTCTGAGTAGGACCCACTTGGAACAGTCCTGCCTAAGCTTTCTGAGCTAGCCTGGGACTCACCTCCCAGAAAACTCTAGGACAATGTGTTATCCCTGCATCTGGGTCCCAGGCCCCTTAGTATGGGCCCAGAACAAATATCTACCAGCAGATCCGGCAAACATGTTCTGGGCTTTTCCTTTTGGCCTCGTCCATTGCTGAGAGCTGTGGTTGCCTGGATGAATAAAACCCCCACCTTGGTCTTGGAACGGTCTGCACTGATGGGGAGCCCAGACAGGGCACCACACTGCTGTCTCTGTAAAACTATGTACAGAAGGCTAAAGCGCTGCTTGAAGTCACAGAAAGGGCCTGGGTGAGCAGAGGAGAAGAGGGAGAAAGGGCTCTTTGCCAGGCTTGCCTTCATCCTCAGTCAACCTCAGGATAGGCCCTCCAGTGACAGAGGAATGCTCCTGGGTTGGCGCACCAAAAAGCACCACCGCTTGTCTGCGGTGAGCCAAGTCGTGCAGGAGTGTTCTCGGTTAACTTCAGTGAGTCCTTGGTGTGATCCATTAGAAATGAAGACACTGAGGCTCAGCAAGGTGACACACCCTGTCTACTGGGACACAGCTAGTGGCAGAGCCAGCAGCACCTGCAGGCTTGGTCAAGTCTAAAGCCCGTGCTCATAGCCAGCAAGGAGCTGGTTCTTCTCCTACTCCTCTCTCTTTCCAAGGACTCAGTCCCAAGCCGTTTCTTAGCCCAGCCTCTTAAGAAAGAGTGACCTTGGCAAATCATTTAACTCATCTGGCCTCACTCTTGCCACTTGTCAAGAGCTGCAGCATCCAGTCTCGGAAGAGCCCTCCAGCTCTCAGGCGCCTGTGATTCATGTCAGCTCTTGATTACCTCCTAATGGGCAGTGGGAATCGCAGGGCGAGAAGCCCTCAGAAGAGACAATCAGAAAGTTGTTTATTTATCTCGGGATTCCACAAACAGCCATTGAGTTCCTACTATACCCAGAGCACCAGACAGGAGACCCTTGAAAGCAGAGCCCCCACTGCTGCCTGGTGTCTTCAGCAGGAGTGCCATCCCTGCCCACTCCGAGTCACCGCTGGGGTCTCTGCAGCAGAGTGGTACCTTCTGTCTTAACGTGCTGCACTGAATGTCTATCTATGAGCCCATCTCTGCCCCCAGACCACACACTCTTTGTGCCTCCAGGATTTAGCATGGAACCTGGTACAATGTCAGTGTTTTCAAATACTGATTGAACTGAATTGAATTGGATTGAGTTGAATAGAACTGAAAATCAAGTTGAATTAAACTCTCCTTAAATATTCCAGGATAAAGTGTGAGGGTGAAGAAGTAAAGATGTTAACCCATGTTTTGAATAGTTAATCATATTTTAGAAGAGTAGGTACCTGTCTAGAGGTCACTGGGATTTCAGGCCATCGGAGCTAAGAATCACGTGACATATGCATACAGTCAGAGCTGGAGGCCTCTGGGAAAGGAGCCCTGGGGCCTTGGTTTGTCTGTGCTCGCTACGGACAAGGAGAGACACTTAGATACTTGCTGCCGGGCCTTCGGATGGAAGGACAGGGAGAGCAGTGGTGGGGCATGACAAGTGAAAGGATCAGTGTGAGCAAAAGTGAAGAGGTGAGACTATGCACAGCACTCATGGTGAGATGAGAGCCGGGCTTAAGGAGAGGGTTTGAGTATAGAGAGTGGGAGGGAAAAGTCAGACAAACTGGTTGGAGGGAGAGCCTGGAGCAAACAGGTTGAAGCAGAGGTGGCTGTCTTGGACCTGCAGGAAGAAAAGAGGGCTGCATTTGAGGGGTCACTTGGCAGAGAACTTAGGGGCAGAACAGAAAAAAAAACCAGATGTGAGCAGGATGTTGAAAAGCTGTAATTGGAATGTCATAAACACAGAGTGAGCAGAATAAACACTGGCATAAACCACTGCCCAGCGGGCCTGGGCCTCCAGGCTGGGTGGGGGCGGAGAGGCTTTGAAGAGGAATAGAAGCCACGGCAAGATGATGGGCACCATGCTAGTGGAACTGGTCACAGCTAATGCTAAGTCTGGAGCTCCCTGTCCCCAAGGCTCCTAGCTCTGACTGCATGCACATCATTTGATCTTCAGATCTGATGATTTGGAATTACTATTAACCACTCAGAAAGAAAAAAGAAAAAAGGGATGAGAGCATCATTTCTTCACCCTTACCAGTGCCCAATACATTCTTCCCTGCAATGTTTAATTAGTGTTATTCAATTTGAATTCTAATTTGACTCAATTGAGTTCAGTCCAAACATTTTTAAACACAGGGGAGTCAATAAGAGAAGGGGTTTGGACAAGCAGACAAGTGGTCCTAGGAATCAAGAGCTGGATACAAGCAATAATAGAACCTTAAATGTGAGTAGAAGATGGCAAAAAGCACGTGCCCAGGGTCAGGCCACTGTAAGAGGCAGGACAGCTTGTGGTCCATCACACCCAGGGAATGGGAAGTACATTAGAGCACAGGCTCCGAATGCATCTGCTTTAGGAGCTGTGTCCATTAGGATGTTTTGGCTATGAGTAACAGACAACCTAACTCAAACTGATTCAAGCACTGGCTTCTTAGTTATATCACTGAGACCTAGGAATGGGTCTTCCCAGGGCTTGTTTAGCAGCTCGACAAAATCAAAGTGCTGGATCAGTCTTGCCAGGACCCTCTTTTCTTCTTAGTCGCAGTAAAGTTGCTGCAACTTCAAGCATCTCTTCTTCACATGAGGACGCCCAAGCAGGAAGGAAGGAAGGAGTAGGAGCCAAAGGGATTTGTGTTAATGTGACTCATGCTTCTTGTCAAGGAAGAAAATCTGTCTCAGAATCTTTTAGAAGACAGTTCTGTATAGCTCACTGGGACCATGCCTACTACTCTAAACACTGTCAAATGAGAATGTATTGATTGGGTCTTCCCAATCCTGAGTCACTTCTTGGGACTGGCACATTGCTCTTAAACAAAAGCCCATTTCTTTCAGCAATCCAGAAAAGGGTACATCTGTTAGCTCTTTTTATAGTGACAAACTACTCTGAAAATTCAGTGGCTTAAAGCAATAAGCATTTGTTTAGCTCCCAAGTCCACAGGGTCAGCAATTTACCTAGCCTGGCTAGGAGGTTTCTCTGGCCTCAGCTCCCTTGTTCACCTGCCTATTGGTTGATCTAGACTGGCCTTGGTTGGAAGAACAGTGAGTCCAAGCTCTCCTCCATTTCCGTCCTCCAGCAGGTGCATGCCGGCAGGACAATGGCAGAGGAGTGACATATTAAACCCAGTGTATACAGTTCCATGTCAGGGGTCTGCCTGCATCATGCCTGCTAATATCCCACTGGCCAAGGCAAGACACAAGGCTAGAGGACACTGCAAGGTTACCCAGAAAAGGGCTTGGATGTCAGGAGGGGCAAAGAATTGGGGCTATCCTTGCAATTTCCTTAGAAACAATGGCTTTTGAGGGGACAATCACTGTTTGTCCCTTGAGCTGTGCCACCTCTCTACCTTTCCAACCTAACTTGTGCACAAAGACAGTTCCCCCCCACACCACCATGCTGAGGGTTGAACTCCGGGCCTCATACACACTAGGCAAGTACTCTACCACTGAGCTACACCCTCGCCCTTTTAATTGCATTTTGAGACAGGGCCTGCCCAAGTTGTGTAGACTTGGGCTCGAACTTGTGATTCTCCTGCCTCAGCCCCCAATTTCAGGCATCTGCCACTGAGTCTAGCTAAAGAAAAAGTCTCTCAGGAATGAAAGGAAACATTTAGAAAAATCTGGGGTTGAGAAAAGGATCCCAGTCCAGGAGCCAAAAGACTGGATCTCAAATTTTGATCTCCTTCTTAGCATCCTGCAAAATCTTGGGAAGGTCCCTTAATTTCTGCAGTCCTCAGTTTCTGTATCTGCAACATTGGAATGAAAATCGCTCTTCCGCATGCCTTCTAGGATTGGGAGATGGTTAAATAGGGTAATGAATGCAGAAGTGCTTCGTAAGTGAAAAGCTTGATTCTCACAGCCATGATTCACTGCAGATATTTTGAGAGGGATTGATTAGGGAAGCAGCCAGGAAGGAAAGCGCATCTCAGGCAAACAAAGACAGCCTCATCTTCTGCTGGGCTGGGTCGAGAGGAGCTCTGGTCTCCTTTGGGAATACACTGATGGGAAGAAGGTCTGACATTTGCTGCTGGAGAATGTGGGTCATCATGCATTACACAGGATGATGTGCTTGGCTAACAAGAAGGCCCTGGCATCTATCCTGTCCCTGTCCTTGTGTTCTGGGTCCCCAAAGCCTGCATGCCTACTGATGCTGAGCATGGTCTGGAAACGAAGAGTGATATGCACACCCTGGGCCTCTCAAGGTAATGGGTGTGAAAGGTCAGTATCATTCCGCGAAGCCAGCTGAGAATTTCTGAATACACTGGGAGGAGGATGGACAGGACTGGGTGTGTGCTTGGGTCAGCTTGTGGCTCCTCCTCTGCTGAAGACAACTGGCATTGTCTCCCTGCTCCCATCAAGTCCAGAGTTAGGAGGCATGGGGACCTGTTTGTTTCAGACCTCTCTAGGACTCCGGATCCTTCTCCCAGCCACTGCACCTGGGTCTAGGACTTTGAGTGGGAGCACAGAGAGCCACGGCTCTCCTCTATCTCTGTCCTCCAGCAGGCTCACTCAGGCACATTGTCAGGACAGTAGCATAGGAGCAAGATAGCAGCTGTGGCAAAGCTTGTGCTGGAGCTCTTTGGGAGACATGTCTGTCCTCCCCAGCACAGTGAAATGATGGACAGCAATCAGACTACTTTCCTTAAGAAACCCGCCCAGCCCTTAAGAACAGGAAGGATAGCTGAATAGACTCAGGTTGTATACCAGAGATCCCTTGGGAGATGAGGCTTTGTTGGAAGCCTTCTGGAGTGGGCTGAGTGAAGGCATTCTGTCCAGATGTGGGACACTGTAGCTGTTGCTTCAAACTTTCATCCAGTACAGACTAGCTCAAGAAGAAATATTGTGTGTGTGTTGGGCAGCGGGTGAGGAGGTGTTGGCAGCCTTTACTAGAAAGTGCAGGGTAATTTTAGCTACAGGTACTGGTCGATCCAAAGGCTCAAATGAGCATCATCAGAACTTCCTTTCTCTCTGCTTGTTTGCTCTGACTCTGCTCTGTTGGAGTCCTTGAGAAGTCCTATATGGTGACCCCTGATTATATCTTCCCTATTTGAAGTTGAATGAAAAGGAGGTGTTTCTTACCAGTTGTTCTAACACAGGTTTTGAGAGCCACTCTGATAGAGCCGACTGTGTCCTGTGTCCATCTCTAAGTCAATTCTTGTTCCTAGAGGATGTGTTGATTGGCCAGGCTGGGGCTACACGTTTTGCCCCCAACACATAAACTGGGAATAGGGGAGCAGTTGTTCCCCAAAGGAAAATCAGAGTCCTGTTAGTGAGGAGATGGGATGTGGCTGTGTGAATAATGAGCCAGGACGCAGCCACTGAGCCAAGGATGGCAGGGGGCAAGGTGGGGGAGGGGACAGCCTGCTAGCTCAGCCCCTTCTGCATGGGCTGGGCCATGGAGAACAGCAAGCAGACTCCCTTCCAGACTGCGGAAAGGAGTTAACAAGAATGGGGCCTGAAATAGGGACAGAAATGAACTTAATTAGACCTAAGCAAGCCATTTGTCTCCAGGAAGTGACATTCAGTTTTCCCTGGAAGTCCCCAGATTAAGTGGTTTTACAAAATGCCACAGTGGAGGATAGATTTTTCAGTGTGGGCAAAGAAAAACAGCAAGTCAATCCAATTATGGAAATTTCTGTTGAGTACCACCTAAGGGACAGGCCCCGCTCCAGGGGTTATGGGGACCCATTCCCCAATTTCAAGGTCCTCGTGGTTGGGTAAGAGGAGTTACGTGATACCAGAGGAGGCGGAAGGAAAAGTCTAGTAAGCTGGCCATGGTGGGGGTGTCTGGGAAGGAAGTCTTTTCTGAACACAGCAAAAGAAGCAGGCTTCATGCAGGAGGTGTGGCATTAAACCTAGAAGAATGAATTTACCAAGGCAGCCTTCCCATGGGGTGAGGGGCACAAAGACTACCCTGGCCTTTAATAGTCCAACAATTGGGGTGTGTTAGTACCAATGAGGCTGGAGCCACCTCTTGTGTCCACATTCCAGAGGCAGGTTTTCTGAAGATGTTTGGGAAATTATGCACCATGTTTCACAAAACTGTCTCTATGGCTATGCTGGGTTAGAGATGCAAGTAGGTGTGGTCAGAAGGAACTTGCTGTCTGTGCCTCCTTTTGAATTTCTATACACATATGCACCTATCCATGTGAACATAGGCCTTTGTCTATATCTACACACATGTCTCTAAGCTCAAGTATATGTCTTATTGATATCAGTATGCACATGTGCCTACGCGTGTGTTTGTATTACACATGCATTGGTGCTCCAATCTTGGTGCACATGCAGGCCTGTCCAGGTGAACACGTCTGTGCCTGAGTGCACTCATGCCTGTCTCTGGACACTTCTGGCTGTGTCCATGTGTACACACATATCTCCATGGGCCACATTATCAGTGCCCCATGTACTGCTGACCTGTTGTCTGCAGCCATGTATACATGCGTGCACATGTGTGTCTTTTGTGCCCCATGCCCCTTAGGGCTCATCCGGCTGCAGGAGCTCATCATGGCCCCATCGAGATACAACATCCGCCTGAAGATCCGCCAGCTCCCCATCGACTCTGATGACTCTCGCCCCCTGCTCAAGGAGATGAAACGAGGCCGGGAGTTCCGCATCATCTTTGACTGCAGCCACACCATGGCAGCCCAGATCCTCAAGCAGGTGCGTGAGTACCAGCCAGTGGAGGGGTGGCTGGGGTCTGCTGGCCACTTCTTCCAACCTCCCCTTTCCTGGATACGATACAGCCATGGTGTGTGGCTCCTGGCACTGACTCTCCCTGGCTATGTGACCTTTGGTGTCACTTTGCCTCTCCAAGCCTTAGTTTCACAAAAGCAAAACTAACACAGTGGTCTTCACATTCAGACTTGGTGTGAGGACAGCTGGATGATCACCCCATCCAGTCCTGGCACACTGAGAGTGCCCAGTAAATGCTTTCTACCTATGTGCAGGTGGGAGGTGGGCTGCTAGAGGGTCCCAAAGCCACTCAGAAGCAGAACCCTCCAGGAAACACAGACAGGCCTCAGATTCTCAGGAGCAGCCCCAGAATGCCCCACCACCTCTCCCAGTGACTCATTCTTCATAGCCTGTGGCACATAGTGTTGCTCTCCTATTACACGGAGTGCATCAAGGTCCCTCACACCACCATCTGCTCAGCTCCACAGCAATGGTGGGAAGGAGGAGGGCTCTTGGTCCTGCACGAGCCTCCATTCCCAGCAGCAGCTCAGCCTGCTGTGCTGGGGATCAGAGCCAAGTGCTGCAGCCACCTAAGAAAATCACAGCGAAATCTCCAGCAACCTCCAAGAGTGCCTCAGAGGAAACCAAAAGTGCTCTGCTCTGAGCCTGTGTTTTGTGTAAAAGGCATCAATGTCATCCCAGGAAGTATCCCTGGTGATTGGAGGAGGCGTTCTGTGGGGCTTTGACACATGACTTGGTGAAATGTAGGTAGTGAGTTGGGGACACCGGTGCAGGGAGAGAGGTGCTCAGCGGGGCCAGGGGAGTTTCCAAGCCTGGGAACGCTGGGGTTCCCCCTCCACCTGGGCCCCTCACCCCCAGCCAAATGGAAGACTGGAACCCCACCCCGTACACACAGGAGACTCCTTCACAGCAGCTAAAAGGCTAGTTCTCAAGGTTATGTCTTAGCTTCTGCCCAGCCCCTGAGTCACTCCCTCCTCTGTGGATGCGGTTAGTAATCCCTGGTACAGACAGCTCTGGAGGCTCTGAGGCAAGGAAAGCAGAGTTTCTTCTGGTGCCCAGCATGTGGTCTACACTGGGCAGAGGCAATCCTCAACATCACCGTGGGGGGATGGAAACACGCACTCCCCAGAAAACCCTTACCCTGAATTCTCCCCGGCCACCTGTTCCTGATGCTCCCTCTTGCCCCACCTTACATAAAGGAATAACAGTGACAGTCACAACTTTGGTTTACCAGAGTTCCTCTGCCAGGTACTTGCCACTCCCTATTAACTCTGGGAAAGGGGGAGATGATCACACCCAGTTGACTGTGTGGAGACTGAGGATCAAGGGGAAAGTAGTGGGACCAAGATCATCCAGCTAGAAAGGCAGAATTTATTCTCAAGTCTGTATGACTTGAAAACTTCTGGAGTTACAGGCAAGGCTTCCATGTGCTGCTAAACAGGACTGAAAGCAGTTCAAACTGTCCGCTGCTGCTGCCAGCTTCCAGCGAAGCCTTCTGGTCCTGATGGGGATTGGGAGCCTCCGGGCTAGGACAGAACTCATAGCAGTTTCAAGGTATACTTGACCTATGACATTTTGCCCCAGAGCATCTGATGGGCCCAGAATTCTGAGAAATTCTGTAGAAAATAAATTATAGTCATTAGTATTAAATTTTACAGGCTTCTAATAAAATATATATAATGTAGATTTTATGGCAGTGTATAATAAAAACCCCACAGCAGCTCTGTGGCCTGCTGTGTAGTCAGATGGGACCAGGGAAACAAGGAGGTCTCAGTGCTTCTGTCCTCAGGCTGAGGACAGCCCCTATTCTCAGGCCTGGCTCGGGGCTGGGCTGTCTCTGGAGCCAGAGCAGTGAAGTGGGCAGAGCAGAGCAGGGCACTTAAGGGGGAGCTAGAGCTGCTGTATCAGCACCTCTCTGAGTGTGGCTGGACCCTACCCAACCCTGCAGAATTGGGGACCTCTGGAGAATGTGGCCCCAAATCCAGCATCTTGATCTGACCAGTGTGAAATCTCTGGCCTTTGTCAGCTAGTCCTTGCCACTATTCAGAGGTCTCAGACACCATATTCCAAGAAGCCAGCCTCACCAGCCCACAGCCCAGCCTGCTCTGTCCCCAGTTCTCACTTAGGGTAAAGGGATGGTTCACGAGGGTATCCCCATTTGTGGTTGACGCTTTGCTCTCCCGCAGGCTATGGCCATGGGCATGATGACCGAGTACTACCACTTCATCTTCACCACTCTGGTAATGTACCTTGGGGTCTTGGCAAGAGGAGAGGCGAGAGTCCCTCAGATCAAGGGTCCTGTGCCCTGGCCTGGGCCAGCCCACTGAGCACAGGTGCTGCAGCTAGAGGAGACCTGAGCCCCAGGGGGTAGCCCCAGGAAAAGGCACAAGGATGCCTTTGTGACCAACCTACCTTTGAGAACCCACATGGTTTGGATTAAAGGAATAGACTCTGGAGCCAGTGTGGACACAGCTCCTCTGCTTACTTGTAGTGGGAGCTTGGATGTCATCTAACCCCTGTGCCTCAGTTTCTTCTTCTGTAAAATGAGTTTCTACCTCCTTGGGGGTTGTGAGGACTAATGAGTCAGCCATGTAAAATGCTGAGTGTGCCTGGCTCATGCAGAGCTATAGAAGTAGCAACTCTTACTACTCTTATGATCCTTGGTCTTCAGCCTTGGCTTCCCACACCTGCCTCCTGCCTTACATATCAACAGGACTAGAATTGCCACTGTAGGCTCCTGCAACATCCCTGCTGAAGTCAGCCCCCTCACTGTCAGCAGGCCAGCCCACCTGCATGGTCCAGATGGGTTCTGTCCAAACTCTGAGAACATTTAGGGCCATTTAAACCCATTAGGATAATTAGATGTGGTCTGAGATCAGCAGAATAAAGCTTTCCCTGTGCAAAAGAGGCACCAGCACTAAGCCACCCAGCCTTGGAGCCAGATACCCTCAGACCTTCTGGGGCCCTGGAGGGCTGTCCCGCCCATCCTGGGTCTGGGGCAGGTGATAGGCCTACAGACAGTCCTCTTACTGAAACAAGCCATGGGAGTCAGGGTTGGCCCCACTCTTGCAGCCCCTGCAGGCCTCTAAGGGGTTTCATTCATTTCTCAACACTTAGCTTAACATTTCTTACCCAGCATCTGTGCTAAGCTGAGCACTGTATCCTGGAATGACTAGGACCGAGGCCCTTCTCTTCACAACTCTGTGTCTGGCTCCCATACACCAGCCTCCATGGGCCTGGCCAGACAGCCGTGGAGCATAGCACAGGCTGATGCTAAATGCTGAGGGGCTGGTGGAAAGTAGGAAGTTTGAGGCAGCCTTTATAGAAAAACAAATGCCTGAACTGGGCCTTAAACGATCAGTAGGAGTTCGCTGATGGAAAGGAGGAATTCCATATAGAGGTAATAGCATAAGCAAAGATCTAGAGGCAAGTTAGCTGTTTAGGGGTGTGGTGGAGCTTGCTCACTCTAGCTTGTGAAAGGCAGCTGTGTTTGTCTCCTCCCAACTGCACACAGTATAGGTAGCGGGAATGTGGCCATGGTGGAACACCCAGACACAGGAGTAGGCAAGTGAGCTTCGAGCCATGAATAAGCAGTGAGTGTTTTGCACTAGGCACTGAGATGGGAGGTCACACAGAGATGGGTATGACACAAATAAGGGCTCCCTCCCCAGCCCAGAGAGCTGGTTGTGAACCATTTAGCAGGACACCACCATCGCCATATTCCCACCACCCCAATTCCATGCAGAGATGAGGGGCCATCCTGCACATGTGCTCGATCCAGGGCCCAGAGCCAGGACCCTGTCAGGAGCCTCGTGGGGACAGAGGTAACCTGGAATCTGGGGACTGAGACTCAGGCCTCCTCGCCAGAGTCCCTTCTGGATCTGTGCCACCCATGATGGCTTGTCCCTGCCATGCTGTATCCTAGAAAGTCATCAGCAGCTTGAGATGAAGCTGCCAGATCCCTCGTATCGTCCCAGGACGTGACTCTGGAGAAGGTACTGCCATAGTGACCCCATACTTTCTACAGCAATGCCACTGCCCACTGAGATCAAGGTCATAGGTCTTTGAGAATGGGTCACGGCACCCCAGAGCCCTCCCCTATCTCCAGACAGTGTCCATTTCTCTTACTTTCATTTCCTCAATTTAATGATACATTTATCCATTTACTTAGCAGCCATATACAAATGCTCTCTGAGATCCCAGGCTGTGAGCTAGGCACTGGGTGGGATTGGTTACACAAAGCTCATGGGCTGGTAGGCTTCCTTAATGTGTGCAAGGACCCAGGACTCTTCCTGGTTCACCTCTATCTCCAGAGCCCAAGTGCACCTGGCGCACAGTAGGGCCTCATCAGTGCCTGAACAATAGATGGATGGATGGAAGCAATACAAAGTGAAATGTAACCAGTGAAGTTATCATCACATTGTCATAGCAGCAGCCATCAGTTAAGACCACAGTTAAGATTTTGGTGCCAGACTGCCTGATTAGGATTGAGACTTTTCCACTTCCTTGGGCAAGCTGTCCTCTCTGTGCCTCATTTCCCCATGTACAAAATGGTGACAGTAACAGTATTACTTTATTGAACTGTTAGAATGAGCATTTAATGCATTGATACTGGTAAGGTACTTAGAACTAAGCTTGGCACTTAGTACTATGTAAGTGTTAAATAAACTGATTAAATAACTCCTATTTATTTTCTGTGTGCTCAGCATATTCCATGCCATTGAAAATTCAAAACAACTCTCTGAGTGACCTATGACTCAGTTATATAGAAAAGTGGAAACTGAGGATCAGACAGGCAACTCAACAAGAAAGGAGCAGGGTCTGGACTTTTCCCAGCTGTGTGGCTTCAAAGCCCTCTGCTCCCATCAGGCTGAAAGTTTACATAAAGTGTACCCTGGCTGCCCTGGCTGGCACAGTGCACACCCTGCCAGGCCTGGCCACCCTGGTCCAGGCATGGTGATTGAAGCCAGCAAAGAGGTACAGGGCATAGAGCCTCTGCAAATCCCAGCACTGCCTACATGTCACTGGTTCCCAAGCCCTTCCAGTCCAGTGATTTTCCCCTTCACCTCATTCTGATTGCAGGGCAGAGTTTGCACTCCCTATTAACTGAAAGGGAAGCCTGCCATCAGGGAGATTATGTGACTTGTCCCAGTCTCCAAGCAGATCAGGGACTTGGCCTAGCTTCCAACTCTGGATCTTACTTGTGGCTGTTCCAGCCCGTGGCCCTTCCTCCCCACACCTCTCTGGGGTCAAGAGAGTAGACTCTCCCAGGGAGACTGAAATGTAGATAGTCTGCAGTATGTGTAATGGGTCTCTCACAGTATTCCCAGCAGCCCCCAAATGTCAGGGTATCAGCTGTGTGCCCTGGGTCCTCTTCGTGACACATGTCCTGTTTCCAGCTGCAGAGTCCTCCCTCCAGCCCTGTTGGCTTAAGACTTTACCTCGTGGCTCTCCCTTTCTGTGCCCATTGGTCAGCTGTGGCTGTCTCAGGAGGCCAGTGGCATTTCGCATTTATCTTGTTCCCCTTAGGAAACCCACATCACCAACTCTTTGCCTCTGAAAAATTCTGGAGACTTGCTTCTCCCACTCAGAAGACATTTTAATTACCCCAGCTGCCATTATCTGTTTCAGCCAGCTTTGAGCCATTCCCAGATAACCCCACGTTAATCAGCCCCAGCTGAGCCCCTGGTACATGTCATGTGTAGGTAAAAGCCTGGAGGTGAAAAAAGAATTATAATAAATTAATAGATAAGCAATCACAATTAATGCCACTTCCCGGCAATAACAGTTATATCATGGGAAAGATATTTTCATCTGTCATTCCTTGAGGCGATGTTTTCTGAGCTTCAGCTTCTACCCATTCAGACCCATGGGGTGCTAATGAATTAGTCTATTATGTTATGCTGAATGTTTCTAAAAGGTCCCTCGTTGATACTGAATTCAGTGTGTCAACATTTGGCATCGGAAATGCAACTTTTCGCCAAGTAGCAAAGTTGCCCACAGTTCACTGTGTACAGCACTTGGGGTCTTGGCCCGGGGCAGTTTGAACAAAAAACAAAAATTGGAGCTAAATAAAGAGGCCTCTTTCCCAACACTTCATCGCCACTGCCCTCATGTCACATGGAGGCTGTCTGTGCCTCCAGCCCTACAACATCTTACGGTTAACCCTAGGCTAGCGGGGGACCAGGAGGCAGGTGATCCCCAGGCCTGTCACCTGTCAGACCCTCCCAGGCTATGACTGTCTCCACCAGCCAAACGCTGTAGCGGGAGACTTGGAGGGCTGGCTTCACCAGCACCCAAGCCCTCAAAGACAGAGCTACACACTTCAGACAGTCCCGTTGGCCTCCCGTCCGGAAGGAGGATGCACTGAGTCTCAGAGTCCCTGCGAGGCCACTGTTTGGTCAACTGTCAAGCCTTAGCTGTGAGGTCAGCACTGATCAGAGAAGAGCCTGTGCCCCCTACGGAGAAGGGTGAAGAAGGCTCGCTGAGGAGCAGAGCTCACTTCTCTTCCACGGCCCCAGGAGTTCAGCTCTGATCCCAAACTTGCATATGACATCCTGCAAAACAAAATGCACCCAGCTCCCCAGATCCTCCTTGGAGGGGGTCTGAGGAAGATCTCTTGGTTCCGGGTGCTGAAGCAGACACATCTCAAGCAATCAACCAAGCCACTCCCAGCTTCTTGGCCCATACAGAGCTCTCTCTGGGGGTGGGGGCTGTGTTCAAGTACCCCAGGGAGCTGCTAGACTGGCCAACCTTTATTTCCACTTTGGGGGCCAAAAGTGCGCAGAACCCTCAGAGAAGATAGTCCCAGGACCAGACAGTTGTAACCAGAGACCCAGAGCACCCCTGCCCTAGCTGCTGTGCAAGTCCAGGGAGGTTTCCAGGGAGGAGTGACACCTGTGCTGACTCCCAGAGAGGGGCGGGGCTGAGAAGGCAGGCCTTCCGTCTAGGATAAGACGTGCACTGAAATCTCAGACACCGGAGGAGAGGCCAGTGAGGAGGGCAGGGCAGGGCGGAAAGTAATTTGGCCTTCCCGGAGTGAAAATTGGGAGGGGTGGGCAGGAAAGTGAGGCTGGAGGGGTGAGAAGTCTCTAAACTATACTGAGACGATTATAGGAGCCATGGGGAAACACACACACACACACACACACACACACACACACACACGCACACACACTGGGGCTTGAACCCAGGACCTTCATACTGAGCTACACCCCCAGTCCTTTTTTATTTTTTATTTTGAGACAGGGACTCAGTAAATCACTAAACTGCCCAAGCTGGGCTTGAAATTGTGACCCTCCTGCCTCAGCCTCCTGGAATGCCAGGATTACAGGCATGCATCACCACACCTTGCTTGTAAGACTTTAAGCAAGGGAATGATCAGGTTGGATTTACACTAAAGAAAAAACGTACTGAAGATGGCAATGTCCAGTGAGCAGGATACTGCTTAATACTCACTTCAAAGGGGGAGTGTGAAGACTAAACCATACACCCCACATGTGGGCCAGGCATATGCTCACCCTCTGCTCCCCACTGAGACTGGGGCCGCTTAGACACACTCTGGCCATCTCAGCAGAGACCCTGCTTCTGCTGAAGACCCTGCCTCCTCCTGCTGTCATTCAGCCTCTTGCCCATCCCAAACCCTGGGACAGAATCAGGGCTATCCTCTTGTCCCTCTGTTTTGTTTTGTTTTGTTTTGTTTTGTTTTGTTTGGTACCGGGGATCGAACTTGGGTCCTTGCACTTGTGCAGCAGGCGGCGAAACCACCGAGCTAAATCCCTGGCCCTTAAAACATTTTTGATCTTTTTTTTTTTGGTACTGGGGATGAACTTGGGTCCTTGCACTTGTGCAGCAGGCGGCGAAACCACCGAGCTAAATCCCTGGCCCTTAAAACATTTTTGATCTTTTTTTTTTTGGTACCAGGGATCAAACTCGGGTCCCTGCGCTTGCATAGCAGGCAGCGAAACTACTGAGCTAAATCCCCGGCCCCCTCTTGTCCCTCTGTATCCATGGACGGTTGACCCCAGGACCTCCGTGCATACCCAAATCTTCTGATGCTCAAGGCCCTTACATAAAATGGCGTAGTATTTGCATATATGCACATTCTTCTGTATACTTTACATCTTTTCTAGATGACTTGTAATACCTAATATAAGGTAAATACTGCGTAAACAACTTCTACTATACTACTATCTAAGGAATGGTGACAAGAGGGAAAAAGTCTTCATGTTCTGCTTGGACAGAAATTTTAAAAACCATTTTTGATCCGAGGTTGGGTGATGTGGAATGGAACTATGGATATAGTAGGCCAACAGTGTTAGTTTGGGCAAGATTAGGACTAGACTTTCTTGCCTTCGTTTAAGTGTGCTCCAAGTGTCTCCTCTGTTCCATAGACCTTCAAAGAAAAAAATCAACATCATGCCTTCCAGAGAGGGCTGTTAAGAGGGTGCAGGAAAAGCAGCAATTTAGCATCAATTAGGAACATCTTAGAAACCACAGGGGCCCAGCACCGTGAGAAAGGTCTGCTGTGTGGGCTCCAGGGTTTATCACTCAGCATCTTTGCATGAGCTGTCATTGACTGAACTGGGGTTGGAGGTTGAGATGGCAATAGCCATGGAGAGTCAAGTACAGCCAAAGGGGTTCCCAGCCAGCTCTCCAGGCTCAGGACGGAGTGGCAGAGCAGGGGATGCAACGGAGAGAGCAGGCTGGACACCAGGGTGGAAGGCAGTTAGTGAGGGAAGAGTGTGGACAAGGAGGAGCTCTGACCATGACCTTCAGACTCAGTTTCCCCACTTGTGGGAGGAAGCCAATCTAGATTGTCAAAGTACAGTGCTACTTCAATTCACAAACTTGATTCTTTCCATGATTCCAGTCGCAAACTGAGTTGGACAAGAACCAAATCAAACTTGATGGTTAGGTTCAAGGTTGGCCTTATGGGGAAATTTGAGGCAGTGTTTCTCATCTAAGACTGTTTGCGACCAGAATCGCAGAGAGAATTGAGCTGGTGAGCTGAGATACCACTGTATATATTTCTAAAAGTCAGACACATGATTCTTCTGCAAATGTAGACCAAACACGTTTCAAAGATGGGAGAGTCCTGTCGGATGGTGAAGCTGGCCTGCTGAGCAAGCGAGGAACTGAATGTTCATAGGGTAGATTAAGACTATCAGGTTAGACACAAAATGGATTAATCTCCTGAAAAGCAGTAAACCTACAACCTTGGGGATTATCTTTTCTGCCAGACACAAATCCGAATGTTCACCCAGAGTCCAGGCCTTTAACCAGTAGCTAACGACAAAGTCAAAGGCAAGTATGTTCCCCTGGGGAGTTAAGTAATCCTGGGCAGTCTGGGTAAGCAATGTTTGCTTGTCATTCAGAAAGAATATATTGCTCCCCTTCCGCCTGTTTCCAAGTTTGGGATTGTTTTTCACAGCCCCCAAGCTCTGCTTTGCTCCTCTGGGGACTGCCCAATCCACTCTGCTGCTGTTTCTTCTCAGTCCAGCAGAAGCTGGCTCCTCCTGCTCCCCCTTCTTCTTGGCTCCTTCCCTCACCAGCCCCTCCCAGCCCTAGAGCTGGCACTGCAGGAAGAGCTGGGGCTGGGCTGCCCAGGCATTAAGCCATGTTCTCCTGGATCATAGGCTGGGGCCTGACCATTGACCAGACTGGACTCAGCCTGACCCCTGAAGAGACAAGCTGACCATTCATTGCCTACCTGTCCCAGGCAGCAAGGTGAAAAGGCCCTGGGTCTAACATGGATGATGAAAGAGGTGAGAGGACTCCTGGAGTCCCCTCTTTATCCCCTCTTTTAGGGGAAGAAATATTCTGAGGAACTTGGTGGTCTCCAGACTCTGTGTTCTTTGTCTTCCCAAAGTAAGTCCCCCATGGTGGACAAGCAGAATTCAGCATTTATGATGCATGAGGCTGGGCATTTCAAGTGAAGTGTTTCATCAAGTACTATAAAGGGGATGATCCCCATTTTGTAGAAGAAGAAACAGGCTGAGGGTCCCCCTTGGCATCGTCCTCACAGACACGAGTTCTGAGTTGACTCCAAGTCCAGTCCTCCCATAGGTTCATATGTCATCTCCCACAGGGCCCTGGGGTGGCCCTCACTAGGGAGGGTGCAGAAGGTGGGGCTGGAGCTTACCTGAGAGGCCGCACCTGGATTTACACGAACCTCTCCCTCCAGGATCTCTATGCGCTAGACCTGGAGCCCTACCGCTACTCAGGAGTGAACCTGACAGGGTTCCGAATCCTCAATGTGGACAACCCCCACGTCTCGGCCATCGTGGAGAAGTGGTCCATGGAGCGGCTGCAGGCGGCTCCCCGGGCAGAGTCTGGGCTGTTGGACGGAGTGATGATGGTACGGCAGGCAACCGAGTGGGTGGGGCCCCAGGGGGTCCCCCTTTCCTTCCTCTGTCCCACCTTCCTTTCCTTCCTTCTGTCCTTCCTTTGCATTTCTTTCCTCCCTCCCACCACTTCTTAAGACCTGCTAGACTCAGCCAGACCCCAGAAGAGGGGCCTGGGACACAAAGATGAGTCACACACAGTCTCTGAGCCTCAGTTTCCTTTGGGGACAATGGGCTCAACAGGATGGTCTTGTAGGTGATGAGGGCCCCATCAAGTGGGAGTGCGGTCATGTAAACAACTGGTTACAGATAACAGGGATAAGGACTAGGCATCCTGGCTGAGGAACTTTCTGGGGAGGCTATAATGGATGGGGTCAGGGTAGGGGGGCCGAGGACTCGAGGGCTGAGGATTGGCCTCAGACAGGCCCTGGCCCTCCCTGCAGACCGACGCAGCCTTACTGTATGACGCCGTACACATCGTGTCCGTGTGTTACCAGCGGGCGCCCCAGATGACCGTGAATTCCCTGCAGTGCCACCGGCACAAGGCCTGGCGTTTTGGTGGCCGCTTCATGAACTTCATCAAAGAGGTGAGTCCCATGACCCCCACCCGGGCATCCGCTGAGGCCCTGATGATCCAGAGCTGCAGAGCAGTGGAGAGCCCAGAGTTGGGACCCAGACTGACTTTTATTCCGTGAGAATTTCACAGGCTGCCTCAGGTCTCCGAGCCTGAGTTTCCTTGGGTAAAAAATGGGCTCTGTAGGACCAGTCTTCCAGGTGACCGGAGGCCTAAGTCATTGGTCCATAGTGAGTGCTCAGTAGGTGGTCAGTTTTGTCAGTAGGCTTCAAAGTACAACAGCAACCCACAGCAAGCCAGAGAAACTTGCAGAGCCTCAGTGGCCTCACCTGTAAAATGGAGCATGAAGCATGGACACCTCATGGAGATGCTCTGAGGGGAAATGAGATGCCGCATGGGAAGCGTTAGGGCAGTGTGAGGCTCAATAAATAATAATTGGCTCACGTCATGAGCCCATCAGCCAGCTTCCCATGGGGTCCCAGCTGGGCCTCTGTTCTGGCAACTGCTGAGGTCCCATCCGCAGAACTGATTTCCGAGGAGCAAAGAGCGTGAAACCTGTCCTGCTGCTGAGCTGACCGTGGAACACAGTGTCTGCTTTTAATTTCAAAGGATTCTCTATCTGCCACTGTCCTTGTAATCTTTCCAAGTCAGAGTTCGTCGTTGCCACTTTATAGATGGGAGAAGCTAAGCCCTGGGTTTGCATCCTGGCTCCATTGCTCTAAGTCATGTGATTTTGGGGGAGATGACAAACCCCCAGTCTTGAGATAGTAATACTGTCTGCCTTACAGGGTTGTTGGAAGACAGATTGAAAAATTATGTGCAGAGAAGCTGGCCCAGGGCCTGACCAGAGTCTTAGCCCGGGAAACAGCAGATGGAGAAGGCTAGAAAGGATGAGATCCACACAGGGTTACGCTGGGCCACAGAAAGTGACCATGTCCAGGACAATAAAGGACATTAGGGGAAGCCTTCTCAGGGGGGTCTGGATAGATGATCTCTCTGTAACAAGCACAGGGGACCAGAAAGGAAGTGGGCTCCCCTGGGAGTTCATTGGGATGCACTGTGCCTAGCTCTGAGCTATGCACCAGGCAGCCAGTGTGACTGAAACAGATGAGTCCCACATATGCAGAGCTCCCAGCCCCAGGATGGAGAAGCACCTGCCAAGCCAGGGCTTTATGAATGTTATCCAATGTGCAAAGGTAGGTGTCTTGAGGAACAGGCCCCGGTTAGGGTACCCTGGCCCCAGGCCCAGTGAATGACCCTCGACACTCACGCCCCTTTAAGAGTCCCTGCAGAAACAAACACTCCTCTTGGATCCCCATTAGAGCTGTTGAGGACAAGGGTGGAACATCTGCAGGGCTCACCCTTGATCCCACAGCTGGCCACCACCAGAAGCCAGGTGCCCCGCAGGAGCCCAGCACACAGTCTTCCCTGGGTTCATTTCCAAGTTGCCTGTCTCCCCATCTGACTGCATGACAGTAAATCATTTTAAAGACTTGGCATTTCCGAGAGGAGCTGGAAAATACCAGGCCGGAGTTCAGAGCGTGTGAAGCATCTTTCATTTAGCGAGTGAGTCCTGCGCTGTGGCTGGAGGGGGCGGGCGGGCTGGGAAATGTCAAGGGGAGGAGCCGCCCTCGGCTCCCTGCCAGGTTCCTGCTCGCCCGCCCACGGGTTGGCCACACCTGCTGGCATTTCCTGCCTCTGTAGCTGACAGGGGAAGGCTTCCTCCCAGCTGGTTTGAAGGCACCTGCTGCGATTTCCCCTGGGGACCAGCAGATAGCCAGAGGGTGTGGGGCCGCCCAGGAGAGGAAGGAGAGTGACTGAGAGCCCGCCTGAGGGAAACTGAGTCTCCCTGTGAAGCCATAAACTGAGGTTTTCACCTTCTCTGCTGAAGCTTTTAATCTCTGACCCCTGATTCCCAGCTCCCTGGGCTCTCTGAGCTTTCCCTGCTTCATTCTGGGTTCCCCAACCCCAAGCCTCCCAGCTCAGCAACTACAGTGAGAGACTACCATGCCCCACCGGAACTTGGGATCTGCCTAGCTCAGTCCCTCTTTGAGCTTCAGTATCCACATTTGTGTCGGCAGGATCAAAATGCAAACTCAGTGGGCTCTTACAAGGTAGGGTAATAAACAGCCCTCTGTGATCAGCTTCCAGCCCAAGTGACTGCTCCTCTTCCCTGGGCAAGGCCAGCCCTCATCCTAGGAGCTCCGTGTGTAGAAGCAACAAAGGAGAAATGATAAACTGCACCACTTAGTCATGATTGTAAATGCAGGCATCATGCTGAGCACTCTACAAATCTCTTTAAATACCTGTGAGGTGGGTAACATGTCCCTGGACCTCATAGAGCTGAGATCACCTGAGCAAAGCCCTCGTTGTAGCCACTTCTGTTCTGCAGCTTCCCCAGCCCCTCCGAGGCTCTGCCCCTCTGCCTTCCTAAGACACCCCTTTGTCCAGATACCCAATACCTGGGAGACTTTACAGTGCCCCAGAGCTGCCCATGTGCATGGAGACTCCCAAGGGTTTAGCTGGGATCCTGTGAACCTGGGAAAGCTTGTGATTGTGCGCATGGGTACTGACCTGTTCATTCTGGCCTGAGGGCACAGGAAGCAGTGTGGCAAAGCCAGGGCTCAGGCAGCTTTCCAGGGCTCAGCCAGCTTTCCAGCACCCAGGTCTTCTACTCCCCATGCCTCTTCTGGACACCTCCTCCTTCTGGACCGTGTGGCCCCAAGTTCTCTCCTCTCTTTGGGCTCCACAGTCAACCTTTGCCCCCAGGACTCTAGGACACATGAGCTTTGTTCTCTCAGACACAGAAAGTTTGGGTATTTAACTACGTATCAGCTGCCACCCTATGTCTAAGGAGGAGGGAGAAGAGGAAACTGGTGCCGACTAAGGGGGTGGCTCTGAGCCCAAAGTCCCATTTGCCTCTGTCTTCTGTACACTGGGTGAGCTGGAATGGCTCCTGGTCCCCTCCCCCGGGGCTGCCTTCCAATCTGTACAATGGGAATCACGATCCTCACCTGGCCACATCCCAGGGGTGCTGGGGAGGTCACATGACAAGAAGAGCGGCCATGCCTTGAGGAGTTAATGCCCTGGGCCCACAGGAAAGATAGTAACTGGAGCAGACTTCTTCCTAAAGGGCAGAGAGAAAAGAATTCAGCCTTTGCAGGCCAGGAGGTCTCTGTCTCAAAGATTTCCCTCTGCGGCTGCAATGCAAAAACAACCAGAGACTACCCATAAGCACGTGGGCACCACCGGGTGATAACCAACTACTTACAAAACCTTGCAATGCCAGTCCTGCCACCCTGACCAAGAAGATGGACACTTTCCTCCGTCTGGTCGGCCTGAAGTCCTTCCGCTTCTTTCTGTGTTCATGATATTACTGACTATTTTAAAAATGACCGAAGTGACCATTTATCCAGGCCTTGTGTGTGCCAGGCACTGTTCTCAGTATTTTACAGGACTGATTTCACCCTCACAATATTTTGGTAAAATGATTACTGTTATTAGTTCCATCTTATAGCTGAGGAAACTGACGCAGAGAGGTGAAGTGGAATACTTGAGGTCACACAGCTAACTGTGGTTGAAGCTAACACTGACCCCAGAATTCTAAACTAGAATATGCATGGACTTGGGGCTGGGGGGATCCTCAGTCTCCCCTGCCCCTCTGAGGGGTGCTCCAGCTCTCTGGTTTTATAGCCAGAGCCAGCCCATTCCTCTGACTTTTCAGCCTCTAGGCAGGTCCGCCTGCCCCAGCTCTGCCCTCTGCCTTCCTGCCCCTCCCTAGGGATCTGGCAGGGGCTCCCCCTTCCCATGGCTCTGAGGCAGGGGCTCATTTGAGTGCATCCAAGATGGATGTTGTACACGAGAAGGTGCAATGCAAAGCTGGCTAAAGAGCATAATAGAATTTATGGAAATCACTGGCTCACACCGCAGCCCGAGCAATGATGGAGGTGATTATTAATTAATCATGGTCTTGGGGGAACAGTATCAGTGCAAGGAGTAATTAAAATGAAGCATTGTACAGTTGTACCGAATGATGATTTATGAGCCCGAGGAATTGCCGCGCTGCCCTCTCCCCTCCGCAGGCTCAGTGGGAAGGATTAACTGGACGGATTGTTTTCAACAAAACCAGTGGCCTGAGGACGGATTTTGATCTGGACATCATCAGCCTGAAGGAGGATGGCCTGGAGAAGGTGCGTGGACCCAGGGAGGGAGGTCGGTCGGAGGAGCGGGACCCTCAAAATCCTCTTGGGCAAGCTGCAGGCAGAGGCCCAGAGGCAGAGGAGAAGACCCAGTGTAGCTGCCCTCTCAGGGTTCAGCATGCCCAGTGTGCCCTCCACAGATCTGTGGGTCCGGCAGAGACCCCAAGGCTGTGGTCACACTGAGGGGTACAGAGCTCAGTGGCCTGGCTACAGCAGACACCCAGTCCATCACTCTGTGAGCCACGTCCATCGTCCATCGGGGGTGCTTAACCTGGAAAACATAATAAAGGGCTGCCGGGGCAGATGAATATCTGAGTGGCTGCAGGCCTGCCATGGTGCAGAGGGGACAGATATGTCCTTGGGTAAAAAACTTTGTAACCCACAGGGGACACCTGCCTGGGGAGTAGTGGAACTCACTAGATGTCCATTGTTTTTCTGGGAGCCTGGGATTCTCACCCTTGAAGGTTGAAACACTTGGCCTGAGCTCCTCCACTCCCAGTTCTAAGGCCTCTGCTTCCAGAGAGTGTAGACAGGGAAAACAAGCCCACCTGGGGCTGGGACTGCCCAGGCGACTAAGGTCAGAAGGTTTTAAGGAGGCTTGTTCTGATCCCTGGAACCTTCAACATGTTCTGTCAACCAGGCTGCTGGGCTGAGAAGGGGGATTTAACATGAGCCCCAGCATCTCAGCATCCCCTGGGACCCAGGGGCCAGGGGCTCAGCCATACCTGCCCCGAAACAGGTTGGTCCTTGGGAGCTACTTATATGTTTCTCCAACCCTGAGAGAAGACGTGCACAAGGTGCAGGGAACAGAGCGCAGGAAGATTCAGGGGGCCCCCTTTGATGTCACTGGGCCTTCAAGGAATTGACTCTCTTCTCTTCCCTACATTCCCCACATTGGCCCCTGATGTGGATTATTTTAACCCCTGCCATGATTTCCTATCTCACTCTGGAGCCCTCCAAGCTTCTCAAATGTGCACACTTGAATCTTCTCCGAGTACGGATCTGCCCTGCTCCAAAACTGTCCATGGCACCCCAGGGCCAAGTCACTAAGCTTCAGGCTCTCTCTCAGGGGTTCAAGGCTCCCTGAGACACACCCCACCTGGCCTCCCAGACTTAGTCTCAGCTGCTCTCGGAAACGTACCCCACAGTCTGTTGCTCCTGCCCTCTCACACCTCTGTGCCTGTGTCCACGCCATTGCCTGTGTTGTAGGATGTGGTCTTTGTCCCTCAGGCATGGACCGGGCTCAGAGCAATGACCGCATTGCACCTGGTGGCCATGGTTCCTCCATTTACTCCTGAGTTCCTCAACTCATGGGGGCAACTGTGCAGGGTAGGAAGTGGCTAGGGAAACCACACCATTCTTCCACCACATGTTGAATCAGCTCTCTGAGGCAGGAGCTGTAGTCTCTATCCTGAGATCATCAAAGCAGGTTGATCTAATCCCATGCAAACTGAGCACCCGAACAGTTTTCTTCAAGCCATCTTCCAGATTCTGTCCCCCTCCCTCCCCCTGCAGCAGTGAGAGCAGCCCTCCTTCTCAGCAGTACTGTAGTGGGAACAGCATTTGCTCAACTAACTGTCTTATTTTCACTCTCAGCTGCCCATTTCTAGGGAGAGACTAGAATTCTAGTGGTGGAGTTAGATGGCACATGTGCCATCACTTCCTATTCCTGTGCCTGTGGCAGGCATCAGTAATTGATCACTGGAACATGCTTTCCATCTGAGCCCACCTGCAGCATCCTCCAACAGCCCTCCAGGCATCTGGTACAAATTGACCATAGCTAATATTAAAAAACATACCTCTGTTATCCCTAGAAGTGCTCTGGCCTGCAGGGTGCTCACCAGAGGTTCCTGGTCACAGCTGCCCGGACCATGAGCAGAGAGCCTCCTCCATCCTAATGGCTCTCTCATCTCTCTCCTCCATAGCACCTGGCTTCTAGAAGAGCATGCAGCTGGAGCTCAGCAGAGCTCAGGGCAAGGTCCCCACCATTGATTCAGCCTTTGACTAATGTTTGCTGAGTACCTCCTGCACCCAGTACTCTGCTCCATACCCTAGCACTGAGCTTGACCCACTTAGGGAAAGAGTCTCTCTGATGCTGCCTGCCTGTCCTCTCTCTTCATGGACTTAGTGGTCTCCTAGGAAGAGATCCTACCAACCGAGAAGGTGCCAAGCCCCAAACACAGCTACTGTGCCTCTCATGTCATCACTTGTGTTTGCTAAGCTGGGTCATAGCTGACCCAGCAAGCTCTAGCCAGTGGCTTTGGGAGGATTAAGCCAGAAATTACCCAAGCATAATTACATCTTTCTCTGCTATCTGCTTTGCACAGCTCTCTGAATGTGATGTTTGCGTTCAGCCTTTTTGTGTAATTGATTGAGTTTCCTGAGTACCCCCCAACTGGGCCAAGGACAGAGTGGGCATGCTGAAGCCTTTCTCTAGAGACAGCATCCCAGATAGGGCAGGCTTGGCAGGTTGGGTCAAAAGGGACCTTCTGAAGGCTCAGGGTTTGAGAATGACTTATAAATGTGATTTTTCCCTCCCTCCCTCCTGCCTCAGGCCCTATATCAATGACACTGTGGGGAGAGATTTTGCCACCATGGCCAGGATGTCTGCCAACTTCAGAAGTAAAACCACAAAGCAAATTGCCTTCAAGCCCAGTGGCACCCAAAGCCCCCATGAGGTTCACCCTGCCTTATATCACCAGTTCCGAAATAGCTTCAGAAAGCATGCACGTGTACACACACACACACACACACCACTCCAGCCTGCCAGCCTGTGTACACACAGCTCCTCCTTTTCTCAGTCTACACATGTCTCGGGAACATCTACCCAGTCCAGGCCATCCAGATGCTTTGGAAGGCATCTGGTCCCTGTAGCTAGCACTGAGGCTGAGGCCCAAAGAGTGAGCAGTGGGGTGCCAGGTATCTTCCCAAGAGGTGTCCCCAGACAGAACCTACTCTAGGAATCTTCTCTGCCCCAGGCTGCTTTCCTAGCTCCCTAGAGCTGCCACTGCATTTCTTGTCTGACTGCATTTTCCTTCAGCTGGTGAATCTGCCAGCAAGAGGAGGGGGTGGCAGAACTCAGCATAGTCAATGCTTAGGGAAGGGGTGGGGGGGCAGCAAGGTTATCTGTCATCAGAGTGGTTAGCTCAAGATATGCAGGGAATGACGATGATGACTGGGAAGGAGATGATCTTGTTAATGTGGAGAAAGGAAGGATAGAATGAGGACTCAGCACCCTGTCTTCTGTCTGTCTGTCCACACAGGTTGGTGTCTGGAGTCCTGCTGATGGGCTCAACATCACAGAGGTTGCCAAAGGCCGGGGCCCTAACGTCACTGATTCTCTGACAAACAGGTCTCTCATCGTCACCACTGTGCTGGTAAGAACGTGCCATCCCAGTAGGAGGGCTGTCTGACTCAGAGCGGACAGACCACTCACACCAGAGCGGCCTCTCCACTCTCCCCACTTGGCACATACTGGCCACCTCTTATGAGGTTTCTGGGAGCCTGAAGGTGATGGCCTGGGGCTGTAGGAAGGTCGAAAATGTAAGGTCGCTCAGAAAAGTCTTAGAGAGCAACTGCTCAGGCCATAATTGGGGTCAAAGTCAGGAGGTCAAACTGCCCCTTGCAGGAGGACTCATGACTGCCTCTCCACTTTGGTTCCCAGGGAAAAGGCCCTTCCCTCCGTCCCTCCAGGTGTGATGGGTGCTGCAGCCACCTCCAGAGAGCCTGGTGGGTGCCAAAAGCCTACATATGTGCCATGCTCTGCAGCATCCTATCCCAAGAACTGGTACCATGACCCCCTTGCCTGAAGGGACTTGCATCCCAACTTCTCCCTGACCCTTCCTTTGTCCTTCACTCTCCTCCTTCAGAAGGAGGACTGAGCACTGCTTCTCTCCCCTGACACATTTCAACCCACAAAGTAGCTTTTGGGGTCCCCATGCTCTCTGCACCTGACAGCCCAGTACTGCACAAGACAGACACAGACCACTGGCTCCTTTTACTGATGGATGTTATGCTCATTCTGTGAGGCCAGTGCCTGCTGGAAAGCCACCGTGGCATGCAAAGGCTCAGGAGGAGCCTTCTCAAGATCACAGCACTGCTCTTGGGGGCCCAAACAGAAACAACTTTGGAGAGGCACCCCAATCACTCCTGGGTAGAATCTGACCCTAGACCCTTTGAAAATAATTCAGACCTTCATCAGCTTCTCTTTATAATGCAGCAAATAAATCTGTAAGGACCGCGTGCTCAGGTTGTTCATCTACACAGAAGGGAGCTCAGCCTGTTTGGGGTTAAGTAAAGCTGCCATGGAATGGGGCTGGGACACAGACTGGGCAGCTCTTCCCTGGTCTGTGGACATTGGTGGCTTCCACCCATTTCCCCAGAAGAGGGAGCTCATCTGGGCCCCCTTGGGTGGTCCCAGTCCTTCCCACAGTGTGACTTACCATGTAGTGCCCAGTGGCAGGGTGGTGGGCACCATGGACAGGTAAGGATACACCGGGAAACATCCCATTCTTCTAGGATTACCCAAAACAGCAAACAGGAATGGTACTCTGGGAGGAGTTAGTCTGTGGGTCTCAGTCTCTGGACTGTGATCACTGAGCAATTCCTTTAAATTAACAGCGCTCCAATGGTGATTATAGAGGGGCTGCTGGTGCAGCTGGAGGAAAAGGGCTGGGGAGACCCCAGGCTCCCTCTTTGGGGAACACACCCACTGACGTCTTCCTGACAGCCACTGTCCTACCCACCTTTATGGACCCACTTTTTGTTAACAAGACAAATATAAAAATCAAGCTACTAAAACCATTAAGTCAGAACAGGAGACAAACTGTAATGTAAAAATATAAAAGATAAAAATAAACAAAAAAGAGCAAAGGGATTAGGGTGATACTGATGAGCAATTAAAGGAATATGGATGCAGATAAAAATAGAAAAGATAAAGAGAGAGTTAAAGGAGAGCAAAGTAGAAAGCTTAAGAGGAAAATAATGAAGAGAAATGAAGGTAAGGTATGAGATAACAGGAAAGATATTAAGAAAGACGAAAAATTAAATAATTTACAGCTCCGACTAGACAAGGTAAAAAATGTTAAACCAAAATGTCAAAAAGCAAAAGGATAAAAGTGTGACAAAGCTAAAATATAAAAGGGTAAAAATAAAATAATAAAAAGGTGGTAAAAGATTAAAAGCAGAGCTGCATAAAATGTGAGATATAAATAAAACACTTTTTGCAAGACAAGATTAAAAAAAGGTAAAGCTAGTATGATTTAAGAGATTAGAAGGAGAGATGATTAAATGAATGAAGGTGATTCAGCCAGAAAACAAGACTCCAAATAGGAAGAGGTAAGCTAAGGATAACATCCCAGAAGGATGCCAAACACAACCACCTTGAAAGACTATAGAGTTAAATGTTATTTAAATGGCAGCCGTCTGATTTCAAGGGCATGAAACCCTTCTGCAGAGGCACAAGGGATTTTTTTTCCTACACGAGAAGAGGCAGAACTCTTCAGACATTCGTGCTCTTGACCTGCCAGTCTTCAGGGCTTCTTCATCAACACTCGCAGCTTCTGCAAAGGCCCCAACCTGCTGTACTCACTGTCCCTGAGGTCCTGCCCAGTGTCCAACTGCTCCTGGGCACCATGAGAGGATAGGAAAGAAGAGAAGACCCTCTTGGCTCACCGCCTGGATATAGCTCCATCTTTTCCACTGCCCCTCACCTCAAGGGATCAGAGCAGACACAAACCCAGCAGTGCTTGGGGACCTGCAGGGTGACCAGGATGCAGGGGCAGGGCTGGGCAGTGGCTCACAGCACAGACCTGTTGGGTGGGTCCTGGCACGCTGTTGACTTACTGCACACCCCTGAGACATGTTTATCTGTCTGTGCCTGTCTCCCAGCTGAAAAATGAAGATGTGATAATAATCGTACCTACTTCATAGAGTTGAGAGGTGAATGATTAATAAATATAAACAGCACAGAGCTGAGTGCTAAATGATAGCTGTTATTGTCATTCATGGCTATTGACTACAAATCCAGACCCTGATGAGCTCAGGTTGAATACAACACATGGCTGAGAGTTGTACAGAAAGCCTGTGCTCCTGTCCACAGGCAGAGCCCAAGGCTGACCACGGTCACGGTGATCATGCCTAGCTCAGGGCCCATTATGTTATAAACTCTGAATGGAACCACCACTCCCTTGTGTTAATATGGCTGCTCTTTGTAAGTATTAGGGAACAAACTCAAGGATTCTCCACCAGTAAGCTACACTCCCAGCCTTTTTATTTTTTGAGACAGTGTCTTGCTAAGTTTCCCAGGCTGGGTTCGAACTTGCCATCCTTCTGCCTTAGCCTCTTGAGTAGCTGGGATTATAGGTGAGTGCCACTGAGCCCACTTTGTCTGTTTCTTTTAGCTTTATTTTCGAACTGGCCCCTGAAGTCATTAGGTAACCTCCAGCGCACCTCCATAGCTCTGGTCTCCTACAGACATAAAACTCCAGATTCCCCACTACCTCATCCCTCCCTTAGCCAGTGTCTGAGCTCCTGTGACTGACATCACATTAATTCCCTAGCCCTGGCCCTGTCTTGACCTCTGACCTGGCTGCTAACTCAAAGTTGATGTCCCATGGCCAATGGGCAGCAGGGACCACTACCCAGGATCAGATACTCTTGCTGAGGGTGACCTAGAATCCTCCTCTCTCCATCCTTACTGCCCAGGGATCAGTGGAAGGTCACTTCTGTTCATCCTTTGGGACAGTGAGGAAAGTCACTCTTCCCTGGAGGTAGAGAAGTGGAGGGGATGACCTCAGGAGGATGTGACACAAGACCTTTCCACAGGTGGCCAAGACATTCTCTCTGTCCAGCTGAAAGTGTCCTCAGAGTCTCCTGGGAGAAAAGTGCTGCTCTACGCACTCCAGGGAAGGGACAGAAGGGATCAGCATGGTCTGCATTGCAGAGCCCGAGGAGATCCCCTCAGGCTTAGGCTCTTGGGGACAGGCTGTACAGGCCAAGGGGAGCAGCCCAGCCTGGCCCAGGCCTAGCTGCTTGGGCTAAAAACCCAGCCTCATGCTTGGCAGCCTAACTGCAGGGCAGTACTTCCTGCTGTGAACTCAGGCCCCTGCCTGGCTGAGTGTGTGTTGTCAGGGCAACAGCATTTTGAGTGACAGGCAGGTGCCAAGACACAGGACAAGAACATCAAATTGCTTGCCACTAGGGAATGAGGCTTAGAGCCAAGACCCCTGGTAAGAAGAATTCCTCCCCCCTTTTTCTTCTCCCCAGGATCTGAATGCAGCAGACCGAAGCAGCTGTGTGTGGGCTGCCCCTCTGAACCCCCTTCTATTCTCTCCTGTCCTGAACCTGGGCTAGGATTTACGGATGCCCTGCCCCGGATAGACAGAGCATAGACGCCAACCCCGCCCAGAGCACTCAGAGCGCAGGCGCCTTCCCCACTCCTGAGTGGGAACCACAGCAGGAGCCTGGGAGCCTGCCCTCCCTGCCCTCCCCGCCAGCCCCAGCCTCTGTTCAGGTTCTGCTCTTCCATGCGCTCATGAAAAATTCATCTGGCCAAACCTCAGCTCACACACGGAGAAAGCACACCCGATTCACTCCTGGGGCCCTGCTTTTGAAGGTTCAGGGCTCTTTTGGCTGCTGCTGTGAGCAGCCTGTGGGGGGGGGTCAGGGGATGGTTACCAGCTATTCGTGGGGTTGACAGTGTGTTTGTATTGAGTGCACATCATGACCCACATAGACACAGCTGCCGTGCAGGCTGGACCCTCAGCTCCCAGCAGCAGGAGAGGGGGAAAGCCAAGGGGAGATGTGGGTCAGAAGACCTGTCCCAGCCAGGGACCATTCTGGGCCTATTAGGACTCCTAATAATACTGTCTTGTTCTAAGCTACAGAAGCCAAGGCCTTAATTCTGGACCTCTTGGCCTGTGTGACCCAGCAGGGCTGGCCAGACCGAACATCTGAGCAAATGGGCTTTTTGTGCCAGTGGCATTGTGTGTACATGGGCCGCTCGTGTACCTGTGGGTTGATGTTGCCTAGGTCAGTGGGGGGCTTGAAGATGCAACTATTAGGTAGAATACCTGAATCCTTCCCCACCAGTGGATAATCTCCAGGCTCCCTCTTCCAGTCCGAAGTCCTGTCACTGAGAAGCTTAGCTAGGCCTGGCTTTCATGCTGATCTAAGTGACTGTACAGAAACCAGACCAAGAGGAAAGTCAGAAAAGGTTATTTTTCTGGACCCCTGTTTTCTGTGACTTGTTGAAGAGAAATATTACCCCTGATCCTACGGCTGTTCTCCCAGAGCAATAGGGGAGCGTGAAGTTATGAAATTGAGGGCACCTTCACTGAGCAATCGATTAGCAGCCAAGAGAGCTTGTGAATTGGCTGTCTGGACATTTCCAGTAATAAATTGTGAAATAGTCCATGAATAAGTAGTTGGCGGAGTTCAGAATTACCCCCTAGGAAATGTTGCAGGTCTAGAGACACATTACTAAGGCGAGCACCATTTTAATGCTCTGGGCTTTGGCTGTTAAATATGTATGCCATCCGCAAAGCACTTCCCGAAATTAATGGCATTTTACAGCTGCTCCGAAGGCAGCGTATTTATATGGAGATGTATAGATTCTGGGCCTGTGGTGGCTTCACAAATGAAGTGCTAATTTTAGAGAAGAAGGCCGAGGAGGAGTATAGAGAAGGGGTTAGGAAGTGAGCTACCTCAGAGACCTTTCCAAAATAGTTCTCCACCACCAGCCAGATTTTTATCTTTGGTGACAT